CACAGGCAGCGGACTGTCCTGCTTCTCTGGCTGGGACAATTTCTTTAAGGGGAAAGCAAATGCGTCCTGTAAGAAGACATTCTTTCCACACGGCTCGCTCCGGGCCTGGCCTGCTGCCACGGCTGTTTTCCTGTCTCAAGACAGCCAGGAGGTTCTGTTTTTCACTGGGCAGTAAAAGCCGCATCCGCCTATAGACGGAAAACATCCCAGTTCCAGCGTAGATGTTAGTACAGGCCGCTTAGTCAAAGCTGCTCAGATCTATTCCGTAGTCCCATTCAGCCAAATCTACCCAGTCCAGTCCAGTCTAATCCAGGCCAACCCAGAGAGGCCTGAATGTGGGGGACACTTGAGGAGTGGAGGACAGGAAGGAGGACACCTGGCCAGCCCGAGAGAGGGCAAGGACAAAGAAGACAAAGGAGCAGATAGTGGCCAGGTCCAGAAGGAACGGCCTCACAAGCACACTCCCATTTTAGTCTTGCCAAACTGGCGAAAGCAGAAGCGCGCACGGTGGAGACACAGAAAAAACACAGGAGCTAACTTGCTTGTGGCCCAACAGACGTTTTCATTTTCATTTTATTTTAAGACAGGGTCTCTTTACAGGACCCTGGCTGTCTTGGAACTATGTAGACCAGGCTGGCCTTGAACTCAGAGAGATGTGCACACCTTTGCCTCTTGAGTGCTTGGATTTAAAGCATGAGTCACGAAGGCCAGGCTTAGCAGACCATTTTCTTCTTGAGTGAGCTGCTGAGGTTCCATCAGCAACAGGCTCACATCCGAGCCCTGGACCTGGGCTGAACTCTAAGCCAGTGTCGTCCTCATTTTAGAATTAGGGGACACACATCCCCTGGGCCCTGTGCCATTCGGATCCCATTCTAACGCTCCCGGGACACAGATCTCACGGCACACACGGCCCTTCAGAGGGCCTGCCCCCCAGTGTTAACACAAGACAAGCCCTCCACAGTGCCGGTGGAATCTGGGAGAAGCGGGGACAGGGACAAAACACATGGCCACCAGGCACATCCAGTGCCCTAAACTGCTACCCACATGGTCTCAGAGGAAAGTCAGAGGTGCAGCCTCCAGCAGGTCTACCAGGACACAGTGGCGGGCAGGGTGGCTGAGGGGGCAGCGCTGCTACTGTGCTCCAAGGTGGAGGCCTCAGTTGTTCTGGCCTCCCCAGTTCTGAGGCACAGTTACCAAGTATTCGATAATGACTTCTCCTTTTTCCATGTGTGGCTGATCTTATTTCTTGCCTAATAATTATACCTGCAAACATCTGTTCAAGTGCTAGGCACAAATAATGCTTTTCATTCTTTAGACATTTTATGATCTCACTCATCACTCACAAACCTTTTAAGAGTTCAACAACCATAACCTGCTACAGCATGCTAAGGTACATCCCCAAATCCTTCTGTTTAAAAAGAGTATTTTCTTACCACTGCTGAACTGAGTTGACATAAATGGCTTCTCTCTAACAAGGCGGGGTGGGGGGCACTTCTCAGACACTCAGGGCCCCTTGTGTGCGAGCAACAATACGCCTAGTTAACCCTGGTCTCCTCCAAGTGGCCCTGAGTGCCCTCAAGTGCACTCGGGAGCTCCACATCTTCTTTACTGTGAGCTTCATGCACGTTCTCAGACGCCACGATGCCCATACTAAGGCAACACATCACAGAAGCTGGCAGCATCGCTATCAGCAAGAATTTGGCTTCAGAGCCCAGTGACTCGTCATCCATCCCGGCAGAACAACACACTCCACTATTTTAGTCCCTTGGCGCTATTACCACCCCACCCCCAACTGCATAAGTATATTTAAGCAAAACTGACAAAACCAAAACATGCCATTAACATTTGCCCCCTTTTCAATAAGAAAGGGGGCTAATAGGTTACTCACCTGATTTCAAAATATTTACTTCACGATGAATCAAGTTTCCACCTCAAGCATTCATTCACAAGGGAGAGCAGGGAGCAAGGTCTATAAACTAACTATTAAAATTCTAAATTCAGGGGGATAAATTCACTTGATGGACAGAAAAGAAAATTGGTCCCGGCACCTCTGAAGTTGCCCATTTCCCACAGGATTCCGGGTCGGGGTTTGGCTGCGTGGGTGCGGGTACCGTTGCCTGTGGGGGTCCGCCGGGAAGAAGCTTTCCTTTCTCAGGAGGCACCGCGGCAGTGTAAGGAGCACCCGACAGGCCCCCATCCCGGTCACGGCGGACACCACTGTTTATCAACAGCCCACACGGGTAAAGCTTTCTTGCTGTAAATTTAACACAAACTCCCCAAACGCTATTTTAGTAGCAGAGACTGAATCCCGGGCACAAGGCAGCACACACTCCAGGAACCCCTCCCGGCAGCGCCCTCCAGGGCCCCTACCTTTTCAAAGGCGGCTTCTGGCTTCCCTCGTTTGCGTTTTCGGGGTCTGCGGTTCAGTCGGATCCATTTCGCCACCTGAAGTCAAAACCCAACAGCATTTCAAGAAGGCCGCGAGGTGCAGGCGTCCGTCTCACCTGGAGCACCGTGCGCTGCTGCCACCTCTGCCTGCCGCACTCACCTCTGAGCCCACTCGTCCTGCCAGCCCACTCCGTTTGCAGTCCTCGGCCTCCTGCTCCTCCCGCAGCGCCTGCGGGGAGAGCGAGTCAAGTTCACAAGAGCCTAGCGCCACAAGCGCCACCTCGGCCGGGCGCGGGGCGGGGCGGGGCCTGCCTTAAAGGTGTAGGCTCCCAGGTCCCCGCTGTTATTGTTCTCAGAAAGCACCCTCTGCCCGGGCCTGCGCCCCCATACGCCTCCCCCCACCCATCCATCCATCCACCCCCGCTTTCCCCCGCCACACACCTCCCGGTCCAGTCTGAGGCTGTGGCTGAGGGTTGGAAGAATCCTCCATCCCATCCTAAGCCAGGGTTCCGGAGGAAGCTTCCTGCCAGCACCTCCAAGGTGGCAGGTGACCTGGGGAGTCCCCTGTGCGTGTCTCCCCGTGGACCTGCATAGCACGTGGAAGGGGGGCGGTCCTGTTCCACAGTCAAGGATGGACTCGCCCCATTTTCCTCCGTTCTCCGTGCCAACCAGGCCTGAGGAAAGGCTGCGGTGCTGCCGGTACTGGCTGACTCTGACCGCCCTTTAACTTTATCGCATTTCTTTAAAGAAAGTCTGTCGGGCCCTCTTTATTGCTACTCCATCCTTCTTTCAAGATCAAAAGGTTTAGATCAAAGCCAAGATCAAACTCGGGACTTTAAATAGAAGCAACTTTGCCACGGAGTACTTTACACAAAGAGGAGCTGCTTAATGAGACGTCAGAGTGGAAAACTTTATTGTACCCTCCATTCCCAAGTACAGCCGGACCCTCATGTGGCCACTAAAGATGCCTATGTCCTAAAATAAACAACAGGCCTGCTCTAGTGGGGGATTCTTAGCAGTGTTCTTATTTCTAGAAACGCAAACCAAACCAAAAAACTAACTCTAGAACGTAAGCAGATGAAGTCAGTTTTGTACCTCATTACCCAGGTACTAAAATGTGTATTCATTTGCTAAATCCGTCACAACCAAGTCTATCCTCCTTTAAGAGGAGAGCACAGAACAGTTAACAATTTGGAAAGCCTGGAAGCACGCATACACGTAAACATATAAATTATCAACATGCATTATGCAGATCTACTTGATTTTTAAACAGAAAGAGAACGTTAAAGTGTTCAGGCCTCATGCTGCTCATAATTCAGGAATCAATATTCACTATGGCAGACACTGCTTTATTCAGTCATTCCAGTGGGTGTTTGCCTCCTTTAGGAACACTAACACAAACCGCTCAATGCAAAGGAAGAAAGGTAACTATTATAAACTAAGTTTACACAGACATCTACGAGAACCTGTTATGGCTGGATAGTATTTAAAGGTTTTTATTTCCCGCCTCATAATTTTCATTTGATTGTAATCTCAAACACACATGTGAGCTTGCTCTCAGATCCATAGCCCCACAGAACCACTGCTGATGAGAGCACAGATCTGGAACTCTGGTCATCCTGGCCCAGCACAGGGGGCACAAGGGCTCTGACTCCCTGAACTTCCAAAGCTGAGGTCCACTCTGCATGCCTCCCGCCATGTTCCCTTGTCCACAACCCCTTCTACAGGGAAGCCACGAGTGTCTATCCAAAGGAAATTACAATTCCATCTCTTTGCTTAACGGAAAACACACACTGCCTGCCTCTGGCTCTTAGCTCATGTATCACATCTGAAAGATCCCTCCTCACTATCAAGTTCAAATTCTAGTATTCCCCAGTATTCACCCTGCCTGTATTGGCTTCCTCCCCTCTTTGTCACTGAGACCCCATTTTTACAGCAGTTAAAATTTTCCAATCTCCAGAAAGAATATTATCTACCATTGCTACCGTGTAATCTATAAAATGCAATTACATTCTACATTTCTGACGTCTCAAGAGCCAGTGTTAAGATGCTGCAATTAAAGCCCACAGCCTACATTAGGCTCACTTAGTTTGGTACAATTTTTATGGCTACTTATTAATTTATCCTGTGGGTACATGTGTGTGGGAGCGTGGGCGTGCATACACCATGCCATGTGTGTACAGGTCAGAGGACAATTTGTCCAAGTCAGGTCCCCCCCCCACCTTGTGGGGTCTGGGGACAAAACTCAGGTTGTCAGCCTTGGCGGCACCCACCTTCACCCACTAAGCCATCTTGCCACCCTATTACTTATTCTTATTATTAACCGATCAAATGCCGACCTCCTAAACACACTTGGAAGGGTAACATCCTGTTGTTTTGTTCTTGATTTCTGTCTAAAAGTACTGCCCATCACACAACAAACATTCCATGTTTTAAAAGCGAATGGAACTGGATAGCTCTGTGATAAAGCCACTCGCTACCAAGCCTGACAACTTTAGTTCCATGCCCAGGAGCCATGTGGTAGAAGGAGAGAACTGACTCCCAAAGGTTTTCCTCTGACCTTCACACACTCCATGGGACCTGTGCCAACACACATTCACATGCTAAATAAATAAATGTAATAAAGGTTTATTTAAAGTGAATGAAGTACATAGGGACAGAGGAACACACGGCACACAGTTCAAGTGTGTGTGTGGGTCTTTTGATGATTATTTCCCTAACTCCAATTTCTTTAACTGCTAGAATATCACCGTTTGTAAGAGGCACAAAATTATACATTTGAATTTTTTAAAAAGGAACACAGTTCTAAAATGACGTAAAAAACAAAAACAGAAAATGAAAGGTCCCTGTAACCAGTAATTCAAATTACAGCTCAGAATGGTGTTGGGGGGGCTAAAGTCAGAATGAAATGTAACACTAGAAAAATTAGTGTTTTTATTGTTCAACACAACCTGAGCACATTTCTCTGCTGTTTACTTAAATCCCTCCTTGCTTATGAGTTGATATGTCAGCAGGCTGTGGAGAAGCCTTTAAAAACACTGAATTCCGCGGTTAGGGACGAATAGTCTAGCATCTTCCAGAGTGGCAAAAGCACTTCCAAGCTATCTTTTAAAAATGGACCACTTTATGCTTGAATTCTATCTTTTTAAATGCCTCAGCTAGTTGACAGGCATATTTAGAAAGGAAGATTTTTTTAAAAACTTTTTGTCAAAGCAGTTCCTAACAGTCAAAGGCAATTTCAGAGCCCAAGGAAATGCCTCTGCTTTCAAACAAACCCGTGCTCAAAGCAGAAACTGGAGATTATTTTCAGAGAACGTCGCTTTGGAGTTTCTTTTTCAATTTTTTTTTTTCTTTTTGGTGGAAGAGGAAGTTATTCCTCTCACAGGAAAAGGCAGTGATGCCAATCGTATTGATAGGGGTGGGTGTTCTCTTCCGGCTTCTATTTGGTGAATGAAGCACAACACGGAGGAGTGAGTAGAGCCCACAGGAAACCCCGCAGGGTAAACATGGGGAGCCCTTTAATTATTCTGACAGACAGAAAATTATGCTTCCCTAGGCAAAGCCAGGGGAGAACCATCTGCAGAGGGAAGCCGAGGACTTTGGCTCCCAAACAGCTAAGCACTCTGTTGCTAACATACAGCAGGCATGGTGGCCCACATTCGTGATGTCATCACTGCAGAGGCTGTGGCAGGGCTGTGAGTTCTGGACCAGTCTGAGTAACAAACAAACAACCCAACAAAACCAAAACCAAACAGCAGGAATCCAGGGGGCCTGGAAAGAGAGTGACCTTTAGAGTAAGCAACAGGAACAAGTCAGGAGTAGGAGCAGACTGACAAAAGTGTTACAGCTTTAAATTTGCAAAAATGTAACAGGTCTCATGCCTGCTTTCCCTGAGTTTAGAAGAATTGCACATAGCTTGCATGGTACTGTCTGCTCCATCAGTGCTGGGGGATTTTAGCCCTGCTAGGTGAGTGTGATTCCACAGCATTATTTTCAGAAGAGACGTGTGGCTCATACCAGACAGCCCACTGTGGGCTCTGGTCCCTGCCCAGACTTACATTTTCCTGCCTGTAAGTGCAGCCGTGAACTCATCCGCGTACCCAGAACCCTCTGCAGAGCACAACCAACTGGACAATGTGTAAGATGCTCTCCCCCTTATACTTTTAGTACTGAGGAAGGAGCCTTGCGTTGTGTACCCCAAGCAAGGACTCCTCTACTTCCCATGTATTCCTGCACCACTGCTGTTTAAACTTCCACACGGGACACAAGAGTTCATTCCTAGGTTCAGTCAGACCTCCATAAATCTGGCCTTGGCCTTCACCTTCCTATGCTCTAGGAATGGCCTCTCACCATGCAGGTCTGGTGAGAAGCGATTGTCCCTTATGGAGAGACATAAACTCACAGCTGTGCTTACCAGGAAGAGGGCTGTTGCCTTTGGCATTTTTACTTCTCTCTGGTATCAGTGTCAGGAGTGGTCAGACTAGGCTCCTGGTTTTCACCTTCTCAAAACTAGTTTATCAATCTTCCCCAATACTTGGTGCTTTGGGGACTCTCCTTAGCCAGGATAGGAACCTCAGGGACAGTTTGCGGAATATTAACTATGCTCCTTGCCCATCTTCCTGCCAAATTCTGCAGTATCTATCTGCTTTGGAAGCAGCCTTAGCTCCATTTTGGGCAGGAGAGACAATGATAAATAAAGTATTGGGATTTTAATTTTCCCGTTTAATCTCCATTTCTCCTCGATGGACTGGGAAAATGCCATGTTTCCAGCCTTTCTCTCCATCAGCACAGCACTTGGACGTTTTGTGTAAAGCTAAGGCGATTATATTCTCTACAAAGGTCTGAGAAAATATTAGGAAACATTACCAGAATGTAACACACGGGTGTCAGAAAAATGCTGACGGACCCAATGTCTTATCTGAATGGTACCAAAGCTGGCAGGGAGGATGAACACTGGACACACAAGCATGATGGAGACCCTACTGCAAACGAGAGAGCAGGACACCACACTGACGCAGAAACATGGATGCTGTTACGAACACCTGGACACTCTGTCAGGGTCCGGATCCAATAGCTGTCTGGCATCTCTAAGCCGTCTTTCTCACGGAGGGCAGTAATCCAATGCCACATTTGGGTACTCAAGACAGGAAGCAGTTGTTTACATATCAAGGTGTAACTATCAAAAACAAGCAGCAAGGCAGCTACTAGAACCCGAAGGGCTGGACCTGAAGACTGAAGTACCAGCCATGAGAGACCACAGAGCCTTGGTAACTGGCAGAAAACCAGGACAGCCCACCTCCAACAGGAGTGGTTTACATAGCACTGGACACCCAAGCTGCCCCACCTGCGTCTCACAAGGTACCAGCTTAAGCATGGAGACACTGGGTCAGGGTAATTCCAGTGCCTTTAGCACTTCGTCTGGCCTGGCCTTAGGTCTTGATGGAACAAGGGAGCTTCACTTAAAATCCTTGTTTATTCTGTGGATCCAGTTAACCCCACGTCAAAACATGGACCATAGAATAGAATCCAACCCTCTAACATCTGCTGGAAGAGACATCATCCTACATCCTTAATCAGGAGTGTGGCTATAGATCTTTAATGTGTGAATATACAGATACACATGCACGTATGCATGTCCATGTGGAGGTCAGAGGTCAACTTCAGGTGCTGGTCCTTGGGAGCTGTTCACATCAGCTTTGGAGACCCTCATTGGACAAGGTAGCTACAGGCTCTTTCCTCCCCAGTGCTGGGCTTTCTTACAAGTGTTCTGTGGATTTATTGACTATGCCATCACCCTAGCCCTGACTGTAATTCTTTATGTGACCTTGACATTCACTCCCAGACACTATAATCTTACAGAAAGGTCATAGGTGAAATACAAAATTACATATGGGGTTTTCCACCTGTGGTTCCCACCTCTGACATGTGAGAGGCGGTGTGCTGGGGTGTGTGGGGGTGTGTTGGGGTGTGCTGGAGTGTGTGGGGTATATTGGGGTATGTTACAATGTGTTGATATGTGAGAGGCGATACATTGGGGTGTGTTAATATGTGAGAGGCAGTGTGTTGGGGCGTGCTGATGTGTAAGAGGCGATACATTGGAGTGTGTTGATATGTGAGAGGCAGTGTGTTGGGGCGTGCTGATGTGTAAGAGGCGATACATTGGGGTGTGTTGATATGTGAGAGGCGGTGTGTTGGGGCGTGCTGATGTGTAAGAGGCGATACATTGGGGTGTGTTGATATGTGAGAGGCGGTGTGTCGGGGTGTGTTGGGGCGTGCTGATATGTAAGAGGTGATACATTGGGGTGTGTTGATATGTGAGAGGCAGTGTGTTGGGGTGTGTGGGATGTATTGTGGTGTGTGAAGTGTATTGGGGTATGTAGGGGTGTGTTAATGTGTAAGAGGCGATGCACTGGGGTGTGTTGGGTGTATGGGATGTATTGGGGTATGTTGGGATATATTGATGTGTGAGAGGTGGTGTGTTGGGGTGTGTTGATGTGTAAGAGGCAGTGTGTTGTGGTGGGGGTGTAACAAATCACACCATATAGGTGACCACTAAGATTTATACCACAAAGTCATCTTAAGCTCCTCTTTTTTAGCGATCTCAATGTGCCAACAGTGCCAAGAACCACTAAATTGGGTGGTTTAAATGATGCCCCATATCTAATAGCTTCCAAAAATACAGATGCTTGGAGGGAATCCAACTCTGAAAGCCAATAAAACAGAGAGTGACCACATACCATGTTCTGTGACAGCAGGTTCCCATGGGCAGAAGGGGGCATGGTGAGGAGGAGGATGGGCTGATGGGTTGACACAGGGAGCATTTCCCATAGCATGTAGTTAGGAATAAACTCAGCCATGCATTAGATATGCACACGAAAAGACTTAAAACAAGATTCCCATGGTCCTTCCTCACAGAAGCAAGCAGTCCCTGTGAGACTCTGGGTTAATACACTTCTGGGTCCTGCACTGAGATTTTAGCATTTGTCTTCAGGTGGCCTGGTCTGATGCTAACCTATAGTACTGGCCACACTTTCCATGGTCTGATTACAGAGCTAGCTTAGGATCCGAGGGAAGTCTATCCAATGGAAAAGATCCTTCTCTGTGTTCAGAGGGATTGCTCCATTAAAGAGTAGCCCATGCTAGCTGACTTCCTTGAGGTGTGGACAGCCTGCTCTGACGAAATGGGTTCCCTTGCTTAGAAAACACTCACACGCACGCACATGCATGCATGTGCTCTGGGAGAAATAATGACAAACATCTCCCCAAAGGCACAGGCACAGGCACAGACATATGGTACGGTTGTATTTTACTAGGTGGAAAGCTCACAGCACACGTGGGTATCTTCCCATCACTTCCTGGGGGCTGATACGGTACGGTGCTGTACAGCATACAGAAGCGTGTGTGTACCCCTTAAGGAGGGGCTGTCCGGGGAGTCTAGGGCTCCAGAAAGATCTATACTTTAATAAAACCTTCCCACTCGGACTAGACTGCCTGCCGTCAGGTCTCCAAAAGGAACCTAAACAAGTCACAATTTGCAAACAGAATACTGGGCCTGAATCATCTCTATTAACAAGTAATAAAAATCTCTCACACACAGAGGAACGTAAAATCTGCCACCTTTTGGAGACTATGGTTGCTGACTGTACTATGAATAATTATGACAGAAAGCCAGTTTCTAGGGTGTTGTTCACCAAACACTCCATGGAAGGGGGTGTTCCGGGAAACAATGCAAGGACCTGTGCCGGTGGTTGCTTGCTTACCAGTCCCCCTCTTCTTCCCGAGATGGTCCTCCAGGGCTGGATGAAGTCAATGTTTACTGCTCCCCAGGGCCAGCAGTGTCCATATTAGGGAAGCCAGAGCTCGCATCTCCCTCCCTCCCTCTGCCTCCACCCACTGTGTGTGGAGGTGGGAGAATGGGTGCTGGGGAATGTGAACTTGATCCCAAATTGATCAGCCAAGCAGCAAGTCTTCTTTGTTCTCTAGATACCAAACATAGCTGCTCTCTAGAGGGGATCAATCCAGCCACTCCACACACAGCACAACTTCTGTGCCCCAGCAGTCAGACACCAGGAAAAAGTTGCACCCCTTAGAGCCACAGTGCAAAAGCCCACTGGACAATTCACGTTCCTATTGGGTACCTCAGACTGGATCAAAGCCCACAGTATCCTAGGGCCTCCCCTTCTCTGAGTTGCCCATGGAACCATAGGCTTTGTGTGTGCTGGGTGAAAGCCCTGCCACCAGGTTTCGTCTTGTCCCAACTCTTTTCCTGCTGTGGTTTATTTAACCGTTAGCTTTGCTTCCTGTCTTCCTTGCTATCTGAGGTCTGTTGAAGCTGTGCTGTGAACCTGGCCTCGCACTGTCCTGGGATGAAGCCTAGGTTCAATGGGGGGGCCTCTGAGGACTGAGAGCAGGGCACTGTCGCTGCTTCCTGAACATTCGCATCATACACCTCTCCGAGCCCGTGAGAAACACACACTTTACTGAGGGGGAAATGAGACCGTGCCAAAGCAGACAGAACAGTCATCTTTAATTTCTGTCCCCCTCCACTCCCCACAGGGATGTAGCGTCCTTGGGCGGAGTTTGTAGAGGTGTGGCCCATCTGAGCCACAGCAAAGGAGCACCTGTCCCTTCCAGTGGTGAGTGGCAGACAGGAGAAGCAGGTTCTCTTTCTCATATCTCTTATTACAGAGGAGAATCAACAATCCCACTACTAGACCCTTCTCATATAAGACAATAAGCCATATTTTGCTACAGGAAACAAAGCCAGATGTGGTGGTCACATCTGTAATCTCAGCATTCATAACATCGAGTCAGGAGAATCAAGAGTTCAAGGCCAGCCTGGGATACACAGAAATGCGTGGTGCCAAAGCACAGGAGCAAAGACCATACAGCATCCCTACTACGCTGCTCTCTGAATCTATCAATGTGATAAAGTCACAGCTGTGCAAACGTCAGAAACACAGTGTGCTGGTCAGCTTCTTCATCTATAGGAAGGGCACAACAATGCTTATCCTGCAGACTTCTGGGTAGACGTCCACCGGTATCATGCTTCATGTACCGAGCAAAGCCTTGCTTTCTTCCTGGGTGTGCTGATATGCAAGATGGGGAAAGAGGAAAAAAATGCAGTTATATTTAAAAATACAGTTCTTAGGGCTGGGGGGATGGCTCCACAGTTAAAGCCCATGCTTTGAAAGCATGAGGACTTGAATTTGGATCCCATGAACTCATAAAAACAGAACTATGACCCCAGAAGTGGACAGCAGAGATAAGGGAGATCCCAGAGACTTGACAACCAGCCCCAGTCTAGTAACCAGTGAGCCCCAGGGTTAGTGAGAGACTCTGACTCAAAAAACAGACAGACAAACAAAAATCCCCCCAAATTGGAGGGGCTAGAGAGAAGGCTCAGTAGGTAGAGTTCTTCCTATTATCCCAGATGATCCAAGTTCAGTCCCCAGCCCTCACATCCAGCGGCTCACAACCTCCTGCACCTCCACCTCCAGGGGTCAGATAGGCTCTTCCAGCCTCTGTGCTCACAGGACATTCACACACACAGACAGAAGATTAAAAAAGTATTAAAAACTAAGTTGGGAAGTGACAGAGTAAGACTCGCACACTGGAGATTTAAAAACTGCATGTGGATAGTAGGCAACCACATATTCTTGGGTTTTACACATAGTCTCCAGTGAGAACTCTGGAGAAACCTCGTGACGCACGCGGACAGGAAGACAAGTGCAGGTTTGCTGGGTGGCACAGAGCAGAAGCGACACCACCACTGGGGAGAAGGGCATAGAAGAGAAAAGCAGACTAAACCTCTGCTTGACAGGGGTGACTCCCCATCCCAGGACACACACAGCACCTCTGAAGGCGCCGTCTCCAGTGAGTTCTAATCTCTTGCTGCCGTGGAGCCCCGGTCCTCAGTTCTACCTATTGACTTTGGCTGCCCGCCCGTGTTTTTATGGCAATAAAGTTGCTAAAATTAAAGAAGAATTGAACCGTGAAGCTTTGGGGCCCAAATGATGGCGGGTTGTAAAACTGAGGCCGGTAACAACCAGGGTGCCCTCAGCACACTTAAAAACCATCTTATGTGTGTTCTCTCAGTGTGGTTTGCAATTTCCCTTGGCCTACAAAGGAAAATATTTTTAGCATGTAGCACACTTTGTAACAGACATATAAATGCACTGAAAATATAATTTTAGAAAAGCATCTGGGTTTGATCATCCCAACCCCAAATAGGTTCTGCTTTTTCAACGTAAGGACCGCCACGGCGCTCTGCTCTGAAAGTGGCAGTTCTCGTAAACGTGGGCAGCGTATCGCGGTTCAGCACGTTTTGCTTTGTAAGCAGTAAATAGTCTAATGATTTAAACAGAAAGCCAGACTATGGGAGGCGTCTTCTGGATTCGACCTGTCCTTCAGCAACATCACCCCCAGCACGCAGAGAAAAGCATCAAGGAGCTGTTTGCTCCTCTCCCTCTCATGAGGTGTTTACCCATCTGCAGGGATTTGAGGCGAACAAGCCCGGCAGTTTTCTCACCTATTGCTGGTCAGACAGAAGAACATCTGTGGGTGGTATCTAAGACCAGCACCTTCCTTAGGCACAGGCACACAGGTCCTGTAATCTGATTGTTACCTGGGCTTCTTCTCATTCATCTCTGGAAGGCTAACAAAGTAGAAACAGTGTTTCTTGATAAAGTTTATAGACCACCACCACCCAGGGAGGTAAAATTCCTCCCAACTGCCACACTGGGTCTCAAACCCAGCATAATTCAGATTCCAAGGAGAGAAAGGCTCTCCTCTTAGAGGCGACCAGGCACACCTACAACGCAAGAGCAGTGTGGTACATGGGTCCAGAAGCAGTGAGGTATCAAATGAGGGTCCGCTCAGTGCCTCAGAGCTCAGTGGCAAGAAAGCTGCTCCAAGCTACATCCAACATCTGAACTACCAGTACAGTAGCAATACTGCTTAGCAGAGTCTCACAGTACAGTGGCCTGTGGAACCATCACCTTGAAGGAGATACAGCTGACCCTTCACCCAGTCTGCACTCTTGCTCATTCACTGCAGTGACGTCGTCCTGCACTTGATGTGTCGAATCACTTGGACCTTACGCTGGAATAATGGACCAGAGGTAGGACATGGGCAGAGGACACAAGGACACACCTGGAAGGACAGGGCCTCTGCTGAATGACCAAAACTCTCACTAGGAGCATTAATTTCCACACTGCCCTTTTGTAAACCCGTGTGGATTTTGGGGGTCCGACAACCACTGACCTACCCTGACTGTGTCTACTGGTTGGCTGGCTGCCACCTGTGCTCCTCTGCTGAGCACAGAGGACAGGAGCTGAGGACCTGAGCCGAGAACTCAGCACTGAAAGTCAAGAGATGCGGATAACTTCCCTTCAGTGCTGCAGCTGATACGGAAAGATGGTTTTATGACCATTTGCCTCTTCTCATTTGTTCATTTTGATGGTTTGATATTTGCCATCTAATCTGGTTTCTACTTCTCAAGGGAAGATGGGCGGTATCCACCAAAGGCCAAAGCAAGCTAATCTGCAGCCACTCATATCAGAAACAATGAGCTCTTGGGTACACTAAAAGTCCACATTTCTCATGCTAAGCTCCAGTCCACACACAGGGCTGGCCTTTACAGACAGCTAAGAGAAGAGTTCTGCATGTCCGTCATGTTATCTGGAGAAGCCTACAGGGTGAGAAAAAGCAAACACCACGGCTCACGCCCTCTGCTGTGTGCCTAGGTGTACCAAAAGCAAAGATGGAGCCATGCTGAGTTGTTAGGTTAAAAACACCACTAAAAATTACAGAAGACCATAGTCTGGGCCTTGGCTGTGCCATTAACTAGACCTGCAAGGGCACTTCTCATGGGGCTCATCTTACCATGGTGAGGAAAGTAGGCATGGCTCTCCGGGACAGGTCCCTACTTGGCAATTCTAAGGTGGACAGAAAGTTGTGCCAAATAGAAAAGATAAAGTAGAGGAGGCGTGCCCAACAAACGCACCGTGCAAACATCAAACCTATCTGGTACCATATAATGGTTCTTCACAATGGAGAAGGAAGAATGGTCCTGTTCTCTAGAAGCAGAATACTCCGGTGGCAGGAGATGGAACAAGATGCCCTGGACACTGAGGAAGGCCCCGCCGGGAGCCACTGCCTCAAACTCCTGGATGCTGATTTTACCATCAAGAGGTGCGATGAGGCCAGGTGTCGTGGGGCAGCACCAAGGCCTGAGCTCACTGGCCTGCTCGTCGAACTCAGGAAGGACATCATGCTTCTGAGGAACAGGGATGAAGAGGACAAGCTAACCAGAGGGGCTGGGGCAGCTTTTGCAAAGCACCGGGGGGGGGGGGGGGGGCGGCTCCCGTGACAGACTTACTCTCCCAGAAGCTCTCTTCGACCCAGTTCTCTGAGTTTACACGTTCCTCTCTAAAGAGCTCTCTCAACCAAGCCTCCTTACAGAGAAATCCTACAGGGTTGTCTTGCTTGCTGTGAACAGCATGCTAGACTCGGGGGGTGGGGGGGCATCACGTGAGTGTCATCACACGGCTAGCTTACACAACAAGCCTGCTGGCTTGTGAATGAGTAGGAATGGGCTGAGCTTTAACTTGGCTCCTGAGTGGTCCTGATGACCAGTGGTCTCTGACCCAAGCCATCAGGGACCATTTTCCTAGCAGGGACTCAGCCTCTCTAATAAATCACTTGAACCACTCACCACCAACTCCATCTCTCTCTTCTTGTTTGAGGTAGGATCTGGCTCTAGCCCTAGTCTGCCTCTGCCCCCATTGGGATCACAGGAAAGTGTTACCCTGCCTTGTTCTCCACCTTTCTGAAGCCCATTACCCTGGCTTCCTTTTTCTTCTGCCTCAAAAGGCACAAAAGATTTATTTTAGTTTACTAAACAAATTCTTGATTTCTTTCCACCGGTGCCACGTGTCTGAATGTATCTGCATCGATTTGGCCTAGTTTAGAATTTTCACTTTTTTTTTCTTCAAGGAAAAAGTTCTCTAATGTTCTTTAGCTGAGAAAGCCTCTCTCACATGAATCATACACACACATCCTATTAGATCGCTTTAAAAATACATGCTCAGTTGCTAAAAATAGCAGCTCAAGGGTAGGCACATGACCAGTACACATGAAGCCTTGGATGTGGGCCTGACCAGCACATGTCCATCAACACAGATGGCATAGCGCTCAATCTGCAATCCTAAGAGACACAGACTTTTGCTCTTGTTCCACTATCAGATTCTCTGGGGCCCTCTCCTATCCTTGCCGGGATCTGGGCCCTATAAAATGGGCATTTACATCAGCTGGCTTGCTCTACAAGGCTCCTTATTCACTCTTACTGTGTATACAATTATACATGCAGGTACGGGTGCATGCATGTGCATATACACATCTGTGGTGGATGGAGGCCTGGGGTCATCCTCATGAAGGCCGCTCCCCTCCTTTGGTACAGGGCCTCTCACTGGCCTGAAGTCACCATTAGGCCCTGGGATTAAGTATTCTAATAGCCTCTATTATTATCCAGAAAACATTATATGAGCATGCAACAGAACGCTTCCAAGCTGGCATTCTCTACCCAGAAAGCCCATCCTTGGCTCTGAGAACACAAAGCCTCTGCAGTAGACCCGGCCACCTTTCCTTAGTCCTGTGACTCCCCTATTTCCCCTGAAGGACCCCCATCTTCCATTGTTGGCTTGTGTGACCTCTGGCAATTTCCAGACATTTATTTGGAAAAGAAGTAGCACTTCCCCAAGATGGCAAAATAACCTTCTGTTCATGGTTCTGGAACTCAGGCAGTGTGGGAATTGAGGTGGATCTCTGCCCTTTCCGGGACTTATGATGCAGCCTGCTCGACAGTACCTCACTGTCCTCTGCGCTGCCCTCGTTTCTGCTGGTTCTGACGCTACTGCTGGGTGTGTTGTTCTGAGAAGGGGTAGGTGCAGATGGAGCCGAGGTTCTCTTAAATTAGTGTGAGGACTTGTTCAGACCTCTGGGAACAAGATGACGAGCCGTGGAAATCGAGAGCAGAAACAAGGTGGGAAGTCGTTCCTGTCTTTGAGAGGCCTGCTTGAACTTTGCA